TTGTTTCAGTCCTAAGATTCATAGCAGCTTGCAACGCTTTTCTATTAAATTATCTCAAATTAACTAATGACACTCTAAAAGATCTAATCTCATTCTAGCATGCACTTAGTTGTTACATTTCACATATTGATCGTTGATATCTCTACATTTACGTGTTAGGCTAATTAAAAGACTTGTGACGCTTTATACATCAAACTGTCGCAAATAATGCTGCACTTTTACTCTATTTAAAAATTTAGAGGGAAAAATAACACGAAAGACTCACTATTTTCAAAACATTTTACGTAATTGTATGGGGGGTGTGTTGTGTAAGTAACATTACCAATTGTTAGATTTATTGATCTGTTCTTATTTACATGCCTTTATTAAGGTGTTTTTTTGGTAAGTATAGTATGATATTAAGTTGATAAAGATTTGTAAATGAGGAAGACAAGTGGGTTGTCGGTTTTATAGGAAAAAGCAACTTTTCATTCCATGTTGGTTTTAAAAATTGTTTTATAGAAAGGAATAATGAAAGCAAAGGGTTTTATTTGAAATACCTGTAAGAAACCCGGTCACTATAGCCACCACAACAGTCATGATAAGAGCAAGTATTTGATAACCGGCTTGTTGCATAGCAGTCCTGCCGTCGCCCTGAATATGCCTGTAAACGTCTTGATTGAATGATGGAATTGTTGGAGCTCGTGCCGGGAATATGTCGTAGAGTCCTGTGTGGTACTGGCTTTCGGTAGCTATAGCTGCTAAAATTGCTGACACTAGAGCTGCCAAAACTCCAGGCATTCCATGAAGATTGTGTACTCCACAGGTGTCATGAATGTGCAGATTCCTGTCGATCCATGGCTAAAGGTAATAAATAATCCTAACTATATCTGCATTTTATAGGTAACGCTGTGAATGAAAAATGTATTAATGTTAATCATCATCATGAGAAGGTCGTCAGTCCCAAGACTAGTTGGACACGCACCTCCACTCCTTCCTATCCTAAGCTTATCTTCGCATTTTCCTAAAACTAGAACATCCCACATCCTTAGAACTGTAATCTAATCTAGGTCTGCCTCTACTCCTCGTTACTCCTTTTTCTGCTTCTAATATGTCTCTACATAGCTCTTTATGCTTGAGAAGGTGTCCTACTAATCTATCTCGCCTATTTTTTATTGATTTCCGTAGAGTCCTCTATTTTTCTATTCTTTCTAATACCTCTTTATGTCCACATCATCCGCCAGTAACACTACACTTACTCCAAACATACTCTTTCAACAATCTTTTCTGAATTTCTTAATTAATCGTTCGTAAGCATGGAAGTGACTTATTTTTATTGAAGGCGACTCGACCCTGTGGTATCGTCTGCTTTATATCCTTACTATTCCTTCCGTCCTGACATATCTGACTTCCTAGATATTTTAAATCAGTCACTTCTTCTAATTTTTCGTCTCCTATCTTTATATTCGCTCTTTCCCTACTTTTTCTTCCTTTGTACACCAGTATTTTTGTTTTACTTTTATTTATTTATTTATTGATGTTAATAACATTGATAAATTCCTTATCGGCGAGATGAAGCCGTCAGGATCCTCTCCTTGTTATTGTACTTGATTTGAAGTGTTAATTAACTGATTTGTTCAAAGTAAATGTATCTAGAATCGGAATCATTTTACCAGGTTTTTGATGTAGTAAATATCTTCTCATAAACAAGTACCGAAGGTTTGTCGCTCGTTCGCAGAATAATTTATTCTTCCTGATGAAATTTTGAATTCTGACTCTATTATAGATCCTATTGTGAAACTCATCTCTGATATTATCAAACCAAAATTATCTAGCTGCATTACATTAGTAGTGAGCAATACATTGTTAGTATCGATTACTGAATTATTTCGCGCTCGACCAAATCCATTAGTAAAATAACCCGTGCTCAGCTTTTGCGGTGGCGGTTTACCATTATCGTAATGTTGGACAATCAGTGCGAATATACTACCTTTGGTTTTACCTGAAGCGTTTTCAACAATTTCTATTTAATTTTGATTATTTTATCAATTTAATAGTTATCATTTAAAATTGACAAAAGCTGTAATGTAACAAATAACTTTTTGAATTTTATGAACTCACGGTAATATAGTTATATCCGATGACAGATAAAGCTCCGGCCAGCATTCCTAAAAAAATGGCGCCGTACGGCTGAATCATCATATTAACGGAGGCACCAATAGCGACACCCCCAGCTAATGTTGAATTCTGTACATGAACCATATCGAATTTGGTATCGGGCGTTAAAATTGCCGAAAAAGCGAAAGCAGTTGCACAAGACGCTGCTAAAGACAGATAAGTGTTTATTATAGCCCTGTGTTGATCATCACCTGATAGTTCTGCAGAATTAAAACTAGGCCAATAAATCCACAAGAAGATGGTTCCTAGAAATTAATTAAGAGTTTAATTTGTGACAATTACAATTTTTTAATTAGTTTGAGAAATTTGTTTTCGTCTTTTTTTTATTATTAGACATTACACTTTTTAGATCTTTTCATTCATTTTCAAAGGGCTACAGAAACAGCAAGATCTGTACTCGTTTTAACTGAGATTATGTTCACATTTTTACCTATCATTGCAAAAAGGTCTGATGTATAATTTGATGATTCCAAGCTCTTGTCTGATTCAATGTCATTCTTTCGTTTAAAACGGCTTAAAGCAAAACTTGCAGCTAAACCAAAATAAGCTCCAAATGTGTGAACAAAAATTGAGGCTCCTGCATCTGCAATCTTTAAATATAACTTCAATTTATAAGCTTATAACTGTTGTATTTGATACTAGTGTGTTTAAGGTGAGCTATTGTATAATGGCCCACTGTTAATACCTTCAAAATTTCATCCCCTACGTAAAAATTACATTGGTATACGGCTATTTCAATAATACCCATAATTATTAATTGTAAGAGAGTTGTTTGTCCAAGAAGAACACCCATTGATATAAGTACACTTGCTACTGCTATATCTGCTTCCACAAGGCTTGGGAAGTTAAAAATATTAATTAATTTTTGTGTTAGAGCTATTTATCAAAAGCGAGAAGTTAATATTTGCCATCTGTAGGTGCATTGTGTGTTGGCGTTGTACCTTTCTACGCTGATTGGAATTTTTAAGTTGCTCAGGTGAAAGAACCCACGACATAAAATGGCCCATTGTACAAGAATAGCTGCCAAGAAAAAATTGAATCCTATCGAGCTGTAGCCATATTTTTTTAAGAAAGCCATCAAGAATCCGAATCCAAGAAACACCATAACATGTATATCCTGGAACACTATAAAGGAAATGGTATTCTACAATATTATTCGTATTATATTTCTCAATATTAAATTGTCATTGTTAATGTGCGATTGTCTAAAATCGGTTCCCACCAACAAATTCAAAAACTACTGAGACGTATGCGCAGGCTATATGTTTTAGCAATGTAATGCAAGATGGTGCTGTAAACCATGAAAAATAAGCTTTTTTATCACGAGATCACGTTGTTTTTGGATTTGAATATCTTATCAAATGACCTAAGTCATTCCTAACGCTGTGCCGGCAAAAGAACGAGGATCTAATATGGAGTTATACCGAATCGTGGTTTTAATAGTTAAATTTCAATAACATTCGTTGTGCTTGTGTTTGAATTATGGACTGTTATTATTTGTTGTTAATTTAGAAGTGTTTTCATGTGAAAAAGCTCGGAGTTGCTGCTGTGGATTCATTTATCCTTTAGTATTTACCTTTCAAGGATACTATGAAAACATTAATGTAAGTAATTTTCAATTTTTGGTACATCTCAAGGTTTTTATTTGTAAGTTTCATTTATAAATTTGCTAAGGGAACATGGTTATTATTATTGACCATTAGATTTCCTTAAATATTATTCGATAATAAGTATGTAACACAATGTATCAACTGATACTGATAAACCATAACCTTGTAGTTGTCTTTGTCTCACCCGGTGTGCTTAATGTAGCTGTCTCCTTTTGTAGAAAAGATTTCAATTTATAGTAAAAACGAAATTTTAAAATTTCATCTTGTGTTATTATTATGGATCTTAATTTTCATCTAAGAGCAGATTCCATTGCACTTTTATTTCACTTTGTGCTTCACATTTCAAATTTTTAATGCCGATTTTAGTGGCGGTTGTTTCTGCTGTTCTACTCGAATTTCGCATATTTTTTGTAAATAATTAAGTTTTGTTAATTTGATTTTAAGGTATTTATTTTACAGTTAAGAAATTGGAGCTTTCCTAGTGAGCTTTTGTATGATAAACAATTATCATGATATCAGAACAAATACAAATTGCATTGCATACAAAATTTGCCAGCATGAATTCTGTTTCACCTAAACATTAGTTAGTTACCAAAAAAGAATATTCAAACTAAAAAAAGGATTAAATAGATACAAATGATATTTTAAATTAGTGCTCAAGATACTTGCTTGAGCAAATGCAATAATCTCTTACAGAAAGGACAACCATTCCTTTTTAACAAACAATACATCCTGATTACAAATTCCTTAATCCAATCACCATAATTAATTTCTTGATTTAATTCAGTTTTTGTTAAACTTGGAATTATTTTCCTCTATAAGCCCAGCAATTATTCGCGTATGGTTAGGGTGAGTGGAGGTCTTAGTCTGTATGCGTACATATTTCATTTTTGTTGGTATTAAAAGAGAACATATACAAACACTTATGAGTAAATGAAAGATAAAATACTTGTAGATTTTTGACGATATTCCCGTGTATTACTATACATATTATAACTTACTGCTGTTATATTTCCTGTAAGTGTTTAGATTTGGATCAAAGCCTCCGAAAACGGGATGAGATGACGTATGTAAGTCGCTTGCATCAGCGTCGGGGTAATATTTTGAAAATTCTACGAACATTATAAGTAGAAATAGTTGAAGCGACAATAACACTAGCATATCACCCATTCTTCGAATTCTCTGCACCCTTAAAGACTTTATATTTGAAAATTCATAACTGATATTCCGTTGGTTCATGTTGCTTCTTCGCCAAAAATCACCGTTCATGTTTCTTAAATGCTTGAAAGAAAACTGCGTAGAATTTGTAAAGAATCAGGCTGAAATATAGATGTATTCTGTGGCTTATGAAAAGAAATTCTTGACCTCAAGAGATCATTTGAGTGAATACATTCAAAAGAATATGTTAATGCTAATGAAGTTAAGTCAATGCTCGTTAGGATAAGTAACATGCACTTTTTTGAAGGGATAAAGCTAGATGTACATCAGTTATTCATTATATTATAATGTAGTGACGAACAGGGATATTCTCTTACGTGGGAGGCATTACCTTTTGAAAAATACCGCTTACCCTACCCTAAATCGTCGTTAACTCAAGCTCATTAGGCTAGCAACTAGGACAGGCTCAAAATATTCCAGGACAGGCACTAAGCCGTCGTGAAAATTATTTTGTCGATAATGAAGAAGATCATAAAATTGAAGGAGGCATTTTTAAGTGCCATACAAAATTATGAAAATGGTATCAACTTTCAGAAGCTATTAATACAAGAAATTATCAGTTTCATTAAAGATTAACGAAACCTGGGGAGAGAGTGANGAGAGTTGTCTCCTTTCTTTTCTGACCTAGTGCTGTTCTTTTCTACTTTGCGCCGGTCAAACTGAAGGTCACATCGCTACAGAAACTAAACGAAGTATACAATGCAAACCTTGGAATAATACTGCCCGAAACAATTCCGACCAAATAACTCTTATTCTCAATTTAGATACTTATGTATTTGTAGAGAATATTCGACTAATACCATGTAAAGCTGAAATTCCTTTGCTTATACTATTATAAGGTAACAATTTCCCGCAAGTACAACCGAATTTCCATTCGCTTATTTCAGGAAACTATTGTGATCTGTTTTGTAACTGTTGCAGTTGTTTGTTGACGTGTTCGAAAAAAAAAAATCGGCAATGTTAACTCTAATATTGTTTCCTTTATTTACTAGGTAATTAAATTGGGCTTTAGAATTGTTAGAAATAAACCAAAAGGTGACTGCTTTAATTATTATTATTAATTAGAGGATTCTTTAAAAATATAATTTTCTCGAATTCGGGAAACAATGTCCAATTTAATTGCCGTAATGGCTAATAAAAAAGATGGTAAAGTGGTTGTTGTTTTCGGGCGTTTATATAAATATCTTTTTAAAATTGATCACTTAGTTATGTTTCATACACCTTCTAGTCTAATAAAATTTACATTGAAAAGGTTATAAAATCCATTTTAGATGAAGTTTGCGGTTGCTCAAGAAAATCTACCTCATACACTTATAAAATTTATTATTCAAATGTGTTTTTGCAACGATTTTTGTACGAACGGTTAAATAAAAATTTTATTCTTTTGACAATAATAACAGCTTAATAACAAAAAAATGGAAATAGTTTATATTTTATTTTATAGGTCAAGTATATTATGAAGGTTTCTTTGTAAATAAACGTCTAGTCTGTTTGGCAGAGACAGTGGTCACCTTTGGTTTTTAACTAACTAAATTTATTTAAAGTTTTTAAAAATAAATATGTATCTATAAAAATTGTTTCCTGTGTGATATTCACACATGTTTGGAGTGCAAGAAGAAGGCAAATCTCGTAATGGACCAAAATCGAAGAAAACAATTAATAATAATGTTATAAATGTACCTCTGGAAATCTTGATTTTGTTCCATGTACAATTTTGTATAATGAATGTTCACAGTTCCATATTTACACATATAGTTTTGTTATAGATTTCTACAAATAAACTACATTTACACTTGGTAAGACAAAAAGAAAACGAACACAGTTTCCTAGTAACTAATTTTGTTCCTATTGTTTAAATTTACGCATCTTAGTGCCTTTGAATTTTAGCGTCCACTTGTATTACTTACAATTAGTTATTTATTGAATTGAAAATTGGAATACTTATGTTCAAGGAGTAGTTATTATGTAGATTAAATAAATATCGATTGAAGTTTATAACAAACAAATCGGTTTTTGATAAGTGAATACCTATATTTATACCATTGCAATTAGGTACGCTAAATAAATTTTACAAGCGATTTTTCATTTTATTTTTTACGACTGTGTTCGTTAGTTAAGATTTTTTTTTGTGTAAAACAGTTACTCATAAAACCTAAATTTAAACAAATCGATCGAGAAAGTTTGCTATTTTTAACGAACAATGATTTTTATAAACTACTTGTGGTTTAAATAATGTGCTTACAATTATAGTTATTTGTGGATAATGTGTAATTTAAAATACATACATGTGTTCAGTCTTCCAGAAACTTATTATATGAACATGAATTTATGTGTTTCGCCTTGAGCGGGAGAGAACTTTAATAATGTTTTAAAACTTCCTGTTACATACCTTCTAAATAAAAATAAATGTGTTGGCAAAGAATTGTTGTAAAGTAATGTAAAATTACAATTTAAAATTAGCAGTCGTTACCATGAAAAAAACAAGCTGTGCAGTTGTTTATTAAAGGAAAAGTTTGCCATTTAATTTACGTATAAGAATTAAGTACCTAACCAGTGACGATGGTATTAATTTGTGATAAGCAGTACCAAAAACATCTTTTTAGGATCCTGCGTCCTAGGGGATGTACTTTGGAACTTCCCAGTGTGAAAAGCTCTAACAATAATTGAAAATCCTTTACAGCATTTGTGTCAAGGACAAAAAGGGATTCGGTGTCGTCGCTTCTCCCATTAGTCAAGTGCTAGTTCAAAGTCTGCATTGAAATATTTTTGTTATTTCTCCAAGCCAATAAAAAATTACAATATAAAAAGTTGGATTTTAATTGACAATAAATGATTTTATTTATGTGTATGAACAGTACCTAATAATCAGTAAAATTAATTGTTTGTTTGCTGATATGCGTTTGTTTTGATGCAGCTTTAATATTTTTGTTTTTGGTGTAAATTGTTTAAGTTACACAGCTAATACATTAAAAACAAATTGTTTGTCAGAGATAACCTTTTACGTGCAATAAATGTGTTACGATAATGTATTATGAAACAAAACAAATGACTCATTCTGTAACACTACTGACGAACTTTATTAATGGGAAATATTGCAATCTTTTGTATATGTAATAACTTAGGCAANCCGAATCCTGTGTCCCTGACAATGTTTAAATAAATATACTTTGTTCTTTATTTGGGCAATCATTACTAAGACTTCAGGACCATTAATTAAGGGGAATATTAATTGGTGTTTAGTTTTTTTATAACACGAATTGATGGTTGTAATATATGAGCTTTGAAGGGCTTCGAGTAATGTTGTAATGAACAGTGTACTTTAAGAATTTTATTTTTTTTATATTTTAAAAACATTACCTTAATTAGAAAGGTGTTTTTTTAAAAATTGTTTCAGTCCTAAGATTCATAGCAGCTTGCAACGCTTTTCTATTAAATTATCTCAAATTAACTAATGACACTCTAAAAGATCTAATCTCATTCTAGCATGCACTTAGTTGTTACATTTCACATATTGATCGTTGATATCTCTACATTTACGTGTTAGGCTAATTAAAAGACTTGTGACGCTTTATACATCAAACTGTCGCAAATAATGCTGCACTTTTACTCTATTTAAAAATTTAGAGGGAAAAATAACACGAAAGACTCACTATTTTCAAAACATTTTACGTAATTGTATGGGGGGTGTGTTGTGTAAGTAACATTACCAATTGTTAGATTTATTGATCTGTTCTTATTTACATGCCTTTATTAAGGTGTTTTTTTGGTAAGTATAGTATGATATTAAGTTGATAAAGATTTGTAAATGAGGAAGACAAGTGGGTTGTCGGTTTTATAGGAAAAAGCAACTTTTCATTCCATGTTGGTTTTAAAAATTGTTTTATAGAAAGGAATAATGAAAGCAAAGGGTTTTATTTGAAATACCTGTAAGAAACCCGGTCACTATAGCCACCACAACAGTCATGATAAGAGCAAGTATTTGATAACCGGCTTGTTGCATAGCAGTCCTGCCGTCGCCCTGAATATGCCTGTAAACGTCTTGATTGAATGATGGAATTGTTGGAGCTCGTGCCGGGAATATGTCGTAGAGTCCTGTGTGGTACTGGCTTTCGGTAGCTATAGCTGCTAAAATTGCTGACACTAGAGCTGCCAAAACTCCAGGCATTCCATGAAGATTGTGTACTCCACAGGTGTCATGAATGTGCAGATTCCTGTCGATCCATGGCTAAAGGTAATAAATAATCCTAACTATATCTGCATTTTATAGGTAACGCTGTGAATGAAAAATGTATTAATGTTAATCATCATCATGAGAAGGTCGTCAGTCCCAAGACTAGTTGGACACGCACCTCCACTCCTTCCTATCCTAAGCTTATCTTCGCATTTTCCTAAAACTAGAACATCCCACATCCTTAGAACTGTAATCTAATCTAGGTCTGCCTCTACTCCTCGTTACTCCTTTTTCTGCTTCTAATATGTCTCTACATAGCTCTTTATGCTTGAGAAGGTGTCCTACTAATCTATCTCGCCTATTTTTTATTGATTTCCGTAGAGTCCTCTATTTTTCTATTCTTTCTAATACCTCTTTATGTCCACATCATCCGCCAGTAACACTACACTTACTCCAAACATACTCTTTCAACAATCTTTTCTGAATTTCTTAATTAATCGTTCGTAAGCATGGAAGTGACTTATTTTTATTGAAGGCGACTCGACCCTGTGGTATCGTCTGCTTTATATCCTTACTATTCCTTCCGTCCTGACATATCTGACTTCCTAGATATTTTAAATCAGTCACTTCTTCTAATTTTTCGTCTCCTATCTTTATATTCGCTCTTTCCCTACTTTTTCTTCCTTTGTACACCAGTATTTTTGTTTTACTTTTATTTATTTATTTATTGATGTTAATAACATTGATAAATTCCTTATCGGCGAGATGAAGCCGTCAGGATCCTCTCCTTGTTATTGTACTTGATTTGAAGTGTTAATTAACTGATTTGTTCAAAGTAAATGTATCTAGAATCGGAATCATTTTACCAGGTTTTTGATGTAGTAAATATCTTCTCATAAACAAGTACCGAAGGTTTGTCGCTCGTTCGCAGAATAATTTATTCTTCCTGATGAAATTTTGAATTCTGACTCTATTATAGATCCTATTGTGAAACTCATCTCTGATATTATCAAACCAAAATTATCTAGCTGCATTACATTAGTAGTGAGCAATACATTGTTAGTATCGATTACTGAATTATTTCGCGCTCGACCAAATCCATTAGTAAAATAACCCGTGCTCAGCTTTTGCGGTGGCGGTTTACCATTATCGTAATGTTGGACAATCAGTGCGAATATACTACCTTTGGTTTTACCTGAAGCGTTTTCAACAATTTCTATTTAATTTTGATTATTTTATCAATTTAATAGTTATCATTTAAAATTGACAAAAGCTGTAATGTAACAAATAACTTTTTGAATTTTATGAACTCACGGTAATATAGTTATATCCGATGACAGATAAAGCTCCGGCCAGCATTCCTAAAAAAATGGCGCCGTACGGCTGAATCATCATATTAACGGAGGCACCAATAGCGACACCCCCAGCTAATGTTGAATTCTGTACATGAACCATATCGAATTTGGTATCGGGCGTTAAAATTGCCGAAAAAGCGAAAGCAGTTGCACAAGACGCTGCTAAAGACAGATAAGTGTTTATTATAGCCCTGTGTTGATCATCACCTGATAGTTCTGCAGAATTAAAACTAGGCCAATAAATCCACAAGAAGATGGTTCCTAGAAATTAATTAAGAGTTTAATTTGTGACAATTACAATTTTTTAATTAGTTTGAGAAATTTGTTTTCGTCTTTTTTTTATTATTAGACATTACACTTTTTAGATCTTTTCATTCATTTTCAAAGGGCTACAGAAACAGCAAGATCTGTACTCGTTTTAACTGAGATTATGTTCACATTTTTACCTATCATTGCAAAAAGGTCTGATGTATAATTTGATGATTCCAAGCTCTTGTCTGATTCAATGTCATTCTTTCGTTTAAAACGGCTTAAAGCAAAACTTGCAGCTAAACCAAAATAAGCTCCAAATGTGTGAACAAAAATTGAGGCTCCTGCATCTGCAATCTTTAAATATAACTTCAATTTATAAGCTTATAACTGTTGTATTTGATACTAGTGTGTTTAAGGTGAGCTATTGTATAATGGCCCACTGTTAATACCTTCAAAATTTCATCCCCTACGTAAAAATTACATTGGTATACGGCTATTTCAATAATACCCATAATTATTAATTGTAAGAGAGTTGTTTGTCCAAGAAGAACACCCATTGATATAAGTACACTTGCTACTGCTATATCTGCTTCCACAAGGCTTGGGAAGTTAAAAATATTAATTAATTTTTGTGTTAGAGCTATTTATCAAAAGCGAGAAGTTAATATTTGCCATCTGTAGGTGCATTGTGTGTTGGCGTTGTACCTTTCTACGCTGATTGGAATTTTTAAGTTGCTCAGGTGAAAGAACCCACGACATAAAATGGCCCATTGTACAAGAATAGCTGCCAAGAAAAAATTGAATCCTATCGAGCTGTAGCCATATTTTTTTAAGAAAGCCATCAAGAATCCGAATCCAAGAAACACCATAACATGTATATCCTGGAACACTATAAAGGAAATGGTATTCTACAATATTATTCGTATTATATTTCTCAATATTAAATTGTCATTGTTAATGTGCGATTGTCTAAAATCGGTTCCCACCAACAAATTCAAAAACTACTGAGACGTATGCGCAGGCTATATGTTTTAGCAATGTAATGCAAGATGGTGCTGTAAACCATGAAAAATAAGCTTTTTTATCACGAGATCACGTTGTTTTTGGATTTGAATATCTTATCAAATGACCTAAGTCATTCCTAACGCTGTGCCGGCAAAAGAACGAGGATCTAATATGGAGTTATACCGAATCGTGGTTTTAATAGTTAAATTTCAATAACATTCGTTGTGCTTGTGTTTGAATTATGGACTGTTATTATTTGTTGTTAATTTAGAAGTGTTTTCATGTGAAAAAGCTCGGAGTTGCTGCTGTGGATTCATTTATCCTTTAGTATTTACCTTTCAAGGATACTATGAAAACATTAATGTAAGTAATTTTCAATTTTTGGTACATCTCAAGGTTTTTATTTGTAAGTTTCATTTATAAATTTGCTAAGGGAACATGGTTATTATTATTGACCATTAGATTTCCTTAAATATTATTCGATAATAAGTATGTAACACAATGTATCAACTGATACTGATAAACCATAACCTTGTAGTTGTCTTTGTCTCACCCGGTGTGCTTAATGTAGCTGTCTCCTTTTGTAGAAAAGATTTCAATTTATAGTAAAAACGAAATTTTAAAATTTCATCTTGTGTTATTATTATGGATCTTAATTTTCATCTAAGAGCAGATTCCATTGCACTTTTATTTCACTTTGTGCTTCACATTTCAAATTTTTAATGCCGATTTTAGTGGCGGTTGTTTCTGCTGTTCTACTCGAATTTCGCATATTTTTTGTAAATAATTAAGTTTTGTTAATTTGATTTTAAGGTATTTATTTTACAGTTAAGAAATTGGAGCTTTCCTAGTGAGCTTTTGTATGATAAACAATTATCATGATATCAGAACAAATACAAATTGCATTGCATACAAAATTTGCCAGCATGAATTCTGTTTCACCTAAACATTAGTTAGTTACCAAAAAAGAATATTCAAACTAAAAAAAGGATTAAATAGATACAAATGATATTTTAAATTAGTGCTCAAGATACTTGCTTGAGCAAATGCAATAATCTCTTACAGAAAGGACAACCATTCCTTTTTAACAAACAATACATCCTGATTACAAATTCCTTAATCCAATCACCATAATTAATTTCTTGATTTAATTCAGTTTTTGTTAAACTTGGAATTATTTTCCTCTATAAGCCCAGCAATTATTCGCGTATGGTTAGGGTGAGTGGAGGTCTTAGTCTGTATGCGTACATATTTCATTTTTGTTGGTATTAAAAGAGAACATATACAAACACTTATGAGTAAATGAAAGATAAAATACTTGTAGATTTTTGACGATATTCCCGTGTATTACTATACATATTATAACTTACTGCTGTTATATTTCCTGTAAGTGTTTAGATTTGGATCAAAGCCTCCGAAAACGGGATGAGATGACGTATGTAAGTCGCTTGCATCAGCGTCGGGGTAATATTTTGAAAATTCTACGAACATTATAAGTAGAAATAGTTGAAGCGACAATAACACTAGCATATCACCCATTCTTCGAATTCTCTGCACCCTTAAAGACTTTATATTTGAAAATTCATAACTGATATTCCGTTGGTTCATGTTGCTTCTTCGCCAAAAATCACCGTTCATGTTTCTTAAATGCTTGAAAGAAAACTGCGTAGAATTTGTAAAGAATCAGGCTGAAATATAGATGTATTCTGTGGCTTATGAAAAGAAATTCTTGACCTCAAGAGATCATTTGAGTGAATACATTCAAAAGAATATGTTAATGCTAATGAAGTTAAGTCAATGCTCGTTAGGATAAGTAACATGCACTTTTTTGAAGGGATAAAGCTAGATGTACATCAGTTATTCATTATATTATAATGTAGTGACGAACAGGGATATTCTCTTACGTGGGAGGCATTACCTTTTGAAAAATACCGCTTACCCTACCCTAAATCGTCGTTAACTCAAGCTCATTAGGCTAGCAACTAGGACAGGCTCAAAATATTCCAGGACAGGCACTAAGCCGTCGTGAAAATTATTTTGTCGATAATGAAGAAGATCATAAAATTGAAGGAGGCATTTTTAAGTGCCATACAAAATTATGAAAATGGTATCAACTTTCAGAAGCTATTAATACAAGAAATTATCAGTTTCATTAAAGATTAACGAAACCTGGGGAGAGAGTGACAAAATGAAAATGCTGAAACACGATAGTAAGCTCAAAAAGTTAAAAAAACTTTTTAATTTAATTACGTTTAATGCGCAAATTTTCGTGGTTGACCCCGATACTCATATTTTTTATTAACGCGTTTTCATTATTATTATTAGTCGTGGGTGTCGCTACTAGACTCCGGATGACATACGAGCTTTTAAAATGATAAAAGGTAAAACAAGTTGTCATAAACAGTAAACAAATGTGTATATGGTCGGTAATTTGAGGCAGATACGCTTTGTTTATCTTTCCCGTTATTTCTCGTGTTTGCTTAATAATTGACGTGTGCACGTTTTATGTTGGAAATATCCTGCTTTTTAAAATGATGTTTTTCGAACTAGAATTTTGATTGGCTATTTAGTAGTTTCATTTTCATGTGTTTTTTATTGCATTACCTACAGAATTAGTCCAAATATTGGAATAGCGAAAAATGTTTATATTTTACATTTATTGATTTGTTAATAACTACATTATAAACAAAAAATGGGAAAAGAACATTTTGTATGTTGCTGCAAAAATGAATTCCACATTTAAAAGGTAAAAAAGTATCACAGTAACTGTATTTCTGAAAAGTACATGTGACAAAAAAACTTCAAATTATGATAGCAAATGGCGGTCGTCATGGATCTTATTGCAGTTCTGAAACATTTCCACGAAGTCTTGAATCAGTCTCTCCAACATATTTCAACAAATACAGGACATTCCTTCTATCATTACCTCCTTGAGTTGTTGAAGACTTGAAGCCGATGTCTGCATGCTTTAGCTTCTGTTATGAGTCAGTTGTAATGACCGCCTCGGTCTTCTGATCGAAGCCTCAATGTTGAGATCGAAAATCGTTGGATTCAAACTCTTCAACTTCTCGTGGAGGCGATGAGAGAAGAAATTTACTTTTTACTTCTAAATAACAGTTTCCTTTCAAATATGTACCTATGTAGGACCTTACTCTGACTGTACATGATATAATAGGATAGGGGTTTTACACTTGAACTTAAGCTAGCATGCACTTACTGAAGTAGATGGTATTTTCTCCTTTTTGGCTTTCATCGTATCGAACGAAATATCCAAACAAGATAAAGATGGTCACTTGAACAAATAAAAGTACAAACACATCCCTACGATGGTCCGACATCACAATCTGGTAATTATTACAATAATTGCTAATAGATGCAGGCTTTGCAATAAGTATTTATTAAAAATGAAGCTGTCTCTTTTGATGTTACCTGCAGAAACGATTGCGGTGTACTGAGTTTGTTAAAAAGTAGCGTGTGTTTTATTATTTAAAATATCTAAGGCGTATCAACAAGCAGTAGCTCATCATGTTCGTACCAGTGTTTACATAGGCTAACAACGTAATTGCAATCGTAGAATTCGAAGGAAATTGTATCATGGTACAGTACAGTTAACTCAATTGTAAACAAACTACTTTGAATTGGTTTGTTATGAATTATTTGGTGCCGTCTCATTAAATGAAATGTGTGCCTCTAGATATACAGGGTCTTCATGTAATCTATGTGTAAAAGGAGCCATGCCCTAATCTTACTAGATACCCACTGATTGACAACAAATGAAAACGAATGTTATTGTAAGCGAACCGTTACCTTTGGGGGCATTTTGTCGAAAAATGACAGGGAGGTTTACATTAAGGGTGCATAATTTACAAAATTGGCAGATATAACACGTATTTTCCACTAATACATCCGCAGAATTCATTTTAATTTCCATTCACCTTTGTGGGATTTCAGGGGTCATACTTATTAATCATTTGATTTATTTTTTCTAATTTTCCTAAATAGGCATATGGCTGATGTTGCTAGGCATATAATTTAATCTATGCCTCATGATAAAGTATGAATATCAATAGGTGCATGGTTGGAGTGATTGATTATGTTGACATAATAAATGAGGTTTGGCAACATAATTTACTTACCGTCACAAATTACGGATGGTTTCAGAGTTGAAAAGCTGTTATTGTATCAAGAGTTCGGAAAACATGATCTGTCTGAAACATCTATGAATTTATTTGCGGCAATCATTTACAGTCACAATGGATACTTAATTAGAAACTAAATTACTGTCATTGTTCTTGTTTCGTCGTTTATTTGTACCTGTATCCCATTTTAGTATCGTAGATATTTGCGCTACTTCAGCTTTTGTTTTTATTATCTACAAATTTATTCAGTAACTGCGTTAGGATCTTGTTCATAAGAGAATAGTAAAAATGGACTGAATATTTTGGTAATTGCTTATTTTAAAAATATAAAAGAAACCTTTGAAGGTTTTACATATGTACATATATATTTCTTTTGGGTCAGATTGGTTTTTTGTTTCTTGGAGGTAACACTCTAACGCTAGCATTGAAGTTGGAGTCACGTTATCATGGAACAAATAAATTCTGCCGTTTAGGATTGTTGTAAATACTTAGCTGAAAGGACGTTATAACAGAGCACGTGCATCAGTTTTTATTTTACATTGACTGTATTATGTACATGCATTAATGTGACTATATTCCTGTAATGGAGGAAATCCATGGTCGCATATTGGAAACATTCGCATACACTCCATAAAGACCAGGCCGGCCGCATCCTGATCCCCATGATACAATACCAATCTGACCATACTCGGATGATACCAGTGGTCCACCGGAATCACTCTGAAAGAAGAAAAGATTGTTAAAAGTGTATGTTTGGAGCACGGCATTGTACGAGTGCGAAACGTGGACGGCAGGCGCGGCGGAAAAGAAAGGTTAGAAGCGTTCGAAATGTGGTATTATAAGCGAATGAAGAGGATAGTGTTTTTTACGTTCGAAATATTCAAATTATTGATTCGAACTTTTTGTACAATTGTACCACATATATAACTCGAAGGACCATAGAACCGCCGAGTTGTAAATATAACGAATTTATTGTACAACTTACAACTACGACTTATTCTAATTTATTATAAATATTGATTGCATTGATGTATTATGAAAATAACTAAAGTCTAGTTACTCTCAGCGAGTCTACAAAAGAACTGTTCTATCAAACTTAAAATTTTGTACACTAGATTCCGAAATCGACAAATTATCCCTCCCAATAACGAGGTTATTGACGGTAATATCAATGCACAATATACTAAGCATGGGATAAACTCTCATTTGTGCTTCTGCGAATTTGCCTACGTGACCGTAGATTTCGGAAATATATTTAAGTCCAATAACAATATAATTTACACAAAAGGTATAATAAAATATGAAAATGTTTATGCCATAAAGTCCCTGCGTCGGCATATCACAAATAAGGTTCCTTAACAGATAGAGAAGGTTAGAAATAGGGGGATATAGAAAGAGTTGGGGAGCAGGGTCAATAAAGAATAGGTGGGACAGGTCGGACATGAAGGGCTACTTAGAGACATATTAGAAGCGGGAAGAGGAGTTAAGAGGAGGATATTAAATTATTGTTCATAAATAGTTGATGATGTAGGATATTCTAGTTTTAGAAAAATTCGATAATTAGCTCAGGATTGGAAAGAGTGGAGGTGCGTGTCCAACCAGTCTTTAGGACTGGCGACCCTACGATGACGATGAGGTGAGGCATTAGAAGATCTGTTTTATAATACTAGATTATACATATTACGAGCAGAAACAAGAGTTAAGAGGTGTAGAGCTAGACCTAGATTAAATTACTGATCACAAATAGGTAAGAATTTGGGATATACTAGCACCAGATTAGCTCAGATTGGGAAGGAGTGGAGGTACGTTTCTAACCAGTCTTAGAACTGACGACCCTATAATGACGATAAACATGAAAGAAATTGAAGAAAAATCTATCAACCCGTTTAAATGAAAGGTAATGATGTTAAAGTTTTTACTTACGGAACAGGCATCACCACCTCCAGTTTCATTGCCTGCGCATAGCATACGTTCTGTGATGGCGCCATATACCTCTTGGCATATTGTATTGCTCACCACAGGTACAGTTACACCTAGAAGTTGTGTAGATTGAGAGCCGTCTTCTTCTGTTAATCCCCAACCACTAACAACTGCTTCTGTGCCACTAGGAATAATTATGTTGGCTGCTACTAATTTAACGGGCTTAATAACACCATCTCGATAAATTAGTGGAGATTTTAATAGAAATATAGCAATGTCGTAGTCTAAGGAATCGTTATAATTGGGATGTACGTAAATATCTGACAATGTTTTTATTTCACCGCCCTCATTTATTATTGAAGAACCAGCGCGAATTGAGTAGGTCCAGGGGTAGGCGCTAAAGACAAAACATTGTGTTAATTTCGTTAAAATATTAAACTGATACATAAAATCGTTCCTTGTTATTCATGGGTGTTGGGCACATGCCATGTTGGAAAGACTACCAAATCACGAATGATTTTACGTGAAGAGGAGGGATAGGGGGACCGTTACCCCTTCCAGTACCTCAAAATTTTCAAATTGAAGTCATTTATTGACTGTATCCGATTTGTAATTTTTGCGATACACATATATGCGTATTAATAAATGTTAAATGTAAATCGCGATTTCTAGGATTCTCCCTTGATAGGAGTGGCATTTTGACATTAAATGCATCAAATTCTGTTTTTTTTTTTATTATTTGTACCATTCATCAAGTTTTGTATTTAACTGTAAAACTGCTTATTGTTCATAATTAAACAGTTTTTGTTAAAAAGTTGAAGATTCAGCCTTATGGTAGGAACAAAGCATGTTACTTTTGCGGTAGAAAATACCTAGATGAGATTATGATAATCGGTTTTACGTTCAGAAACAATTAATTGGATAGAATACGATTGCTCATTCCAGTTTCGTCGGTTTCTTTTTCGTTTATTAATTACTAGCTGTTCCCGCGGCCTTTTCCGCCCGGTATTTTTATCAATTTGTGAATTAACTTTAGCATATAGATATAGAGCCTTTTTAAGCTGTATGAATTTTGTACAGAAAGCATTCATATAATTGTTACTGATGAGGTAGCGCTGCGGCGTTCGTAAGAGTCGCATTCGCTCGACCGTTCTTTCGTCGACTTTCGTTACAGATTTGGTGCTCAGGAAAAGCACGTTCACTTTAACGAAATAATATATGGCCTATGTTCACCCTGAAAGTCCTTTCTAAATATTGGTGAAAGAATTTTTAAAATCGGATGAGTAGTTTCGGAGATATATATAATATTATAAATATTGAGAATCGGGGTTCGTCGCTTAACTCACCGTTGATATCTCCGACACTTCACTTCAAATAATGAAAAAACTGCATACTTTAGAAAAAAAAATTTATATAAAAGTTGTTCTATAATTCAAGGCCCATCTAATGGTACAAGCGGGAAATCTCTATCTAGCATATTACGTGACCTATGACCGCAAAACGGTAAGACACGTTCATCAAATCAACCAATAATTAAAATTGAGCAAACACACATTATTTTTTTTTACTCAAAATAATCCGGGCTTGTCGCTTTACTCTCCTTTGACAATAATTAAGTATTAGAGGAGTGAGACAGTCGTCTTAACTATAAAAGTACCTATATCAAATTAGTCTTCCAAATGGTAAGAAAGTTATTGATATATGTATGATAAGAAGGTATTTGGCATTTATAAATTTTTACTATCTTCCAATGAAAGTTTGAACCGTGGATAGCTCCGACCCAGAATAACAAAGGATTAGATATTATGATTTACATTACTTATTTATGCAATGAGCTGCCGTCAGTATATAATTTTCGGATAAAATCGATCCACCGCACACATGCGAACCACATTTTAGTACAGACACCATGTAAGGTTTATCGACTGGTGCGCCACCAACTATCAGTTTAGTAAAATCCGCATTGTTTGTACGAAGGCCTAAAAAACATTTAGTTTTCACTTTAACGTTGGGGTTGATTAATAAATGAATCTTTGGCTTTAATTCTATACAGTATTATTGATTATTATATATTGTAGTCCTTCACTAATACATGTATAAAAGTTATACTTACCCCAGGTGTAGCTAAACAATAATTGTAAAAATATAACTATCATCTTTATGTTTGGGCAACTCATTGACTGTAAAAATTGCAATCGAATCGTTGCGTTATTTTGCGCTAGTATTAATAGTAAAAATTTCTAATAAAAAAAACAATTAAAAAACTATTAACTTTATTATTATATAATATTGTAACTTTTATATTCTTTTTTATTTTATTGGTAGATTTTAAGTGTGTTGTATTCGTACTTGTTTAAGTATTTACGTATTTTATGAACTCGTGTTACAACAATATATCTAAATTACTCACGAAAAATTAATAAAAATAAAAGCTTTTATGCTTCCAAGTAGAATGCAGATAATTTCCGTTTAATGAAAGAACATTAACGTCGTATGAGTATTGCAGCAGCATAAAAAAATTGTAGCAAATTAAAACAGTTATTATTATTTCACTTTTAACTGATTTCATGCTCTGTTTGTAAATTAAATCTTGTTAAGTTCTGCGAGTTGATTTTAGTACAAGAACAATTAAAATGTAGCATCAGTAATTAAGAACTATGAACTAGTTGTTACTTATAATAATAATTACTTCATCATCATCATCATCATCATAAGATCCTCAGTCCTACGACTACCTGGACACGTACCTCCACCCTTTCCTATGAGCTAATCTTTGCATTTCCCTAAAACTAGAACATTCCACATCCTTAACGATTTGTGAACAGTAATCTAATTTAGGTCTACTCCTCCTAACTCCTGTTTTTGTCCCTAATACGTCTCTGACTAGACCTTCATGCCTGAAAAGGTGTCCTACTAACCTATCTTGTATATTTCTTATTTACTTCCTTAGAGTCCTCTGTTTCCTATTCCTTCTAATACCGCTTCATTTCTAACCTTCTTTATCAACGGTATCCTCATCATTCGCTGGTAACACCACATTTCAAACGCTTCTAACTTTTTCTTTTGGCAGCGCCCACCGTTCATGTTTCGCACCCGTACAGCGCCGAGCTCCATAACAATCTTTTTCGAATTTCTAAATTAATCGTTCGCAAGCATAGAAGTGACTTCTTTTTATTGAAGGCGACTCGATCCTGAGCTATCTTCTGCTTTATATCTCTACTACTTCTTCTATCCTGACTTATTTGACTTCCTATAGTTGCCGAAAATCAGCCACTTCTTCCAATTTTTCGGCTCCTTTCTCGATAATTACTTAACCAATCAGATATTTGTTTACATACATGCAATAGGAAGTAAGAGTCGGTATTCACTATTAGTAGGTAAGTGTTAGTGATATGTATCTATAGGAAATAAGGATGTATATTGCGTTCAATAAATTTGGTATGTATATACATAGACGTCCGTCCAGTTTGATGCATCCCAATAATTAGTAAACACATGAATATATTATTACCGAAGTAATGTATTCAATGCAGGTAGGCGCCTAATACCTCAGGACCGTCGTCTGGCACATAGCAGGAATTAATCTGATGTCAAAACAGCTCTAATAGTTACGTTAAATTATATGCATCTAATAAGTAGGAATTTATCTGCATCTATCAATCAGTGATTATAATTATTATTGATGATGGTATTGCAACTAATAAGGAGACAGGACATTAGGATATTGAGTATTATTATATATCGACTGGTAAGCCGATGCATCGTGCCTTATAGCTACATGAAAAGAGATAAATGAATAATAGTGTAGCGAGCACGAGTGTGTTTGTGTGCGATCGGGCTCACGTGTGCGTGAACGGCTTATAGACTCGCCGACTAGCCGCGGGCGTCTTTCTTAATGTTCAAAGAAAAAAGAAACTATCCGGATGTTTCGAGGAGGCTACCGAAAGTAAACAAAAGAGTATTTAAAGGAAGCGACGATCGCCGAAGAAGAAATAAATTGACAGTTGCAGAAGTGAATCGAGAAATAAATTGACAGTGATAGCAGTGAAATAAATAGCGTAGTAAATAGTGATATATCAACAGTAGTGTAAATAAATAGAATAATTCATAACTTAAGTTTAGTAATAATTTAATAGTGTTTTTATGTTCTTTAATAATTAATGTAAATAAATAGTTTTTGTCGTTACCAGTGTTAGAAGTTAATTTTGTTAAACCCACGAACATTACAATAGTAAGCGGTGCAGCGTTTAGAGGTTGCTTACAAGCGTTTTGCTATGACAATTTTTAACGTCCCAACTATAACTAGATTATTGCCATCCGGGTGTCGCAGTTCACCAAGAAATTTTTGTTTCCCCAGTTCTCAATAATCATTGTAGTACTTGACAGTTCAAAGTAAAAAAAATCTACAATAGAACAGATCAAAACTCTAAATATTTCGGAAAAGTTTAAACATAAAAAGCAAATACAAAATTAAACAAGTGCATTTGTCGTGTTGTAAAACAAATCAACGGATTCAAACAAACCATAGTAAAAAAAATTTCATTTTCTGTGGCTTTTGCTTTAACGTTACTTTGTAATATTTTGCAATTGCCATTTGTAACCCCAGGAATATCGTGTGGTCGATGTCATCCTTTTGTCATTCGTTATTATATCCTGACCGGCCTTTCTGGGTTTGACAAACGATAATGGACTCCATTTGTGCATTGTTTCGTTAGTTCATACACATTTGGAAAAGTAAACATTAAACGTATTGCTGTTACTAAAAATCTTCACTTTATATTCCTATGTTTTTAGTACAGTGATTTGAACCCCTTTACTTAGCCGAAACTGTTTTTTAATTTGATATAAAAGAAATTCGGAGTTAAAAGGGCGTTTTTGAATGTTTCCTTTTGACAAGCTCAGTTCAAACTCTGTTTCTAATTATTTGTAGGTGTTTTTTTAATAAGTATTTTCTGCTCATTTGTCTTGTGTGTGCAAAATTTTTCCATCTATTTTCTTGATTCCTAATTGGATAGGATTTGGGTGTAGTACATATCAGATATATAATGAACAACATTACATTACATTTTATTTAAAATTAAAATTAAAATTACCAAATAAACATATAAGAAACTAAAGTCCACAAATTTCTGTTATATAACTTCTTAAAGAAGGTACATTGGAGTATACTCCTGGATAATTTGGCCTTGCGCAACCATATCCCCATGAGACAATGCCTATTAATTCTCCTTCAATCACTAAAGGACCTCCGGAGTCACCCTGGCGTAAAAATAAAGAGGTATTATTAATGATAAATTAAATATGTTTAATGGATATTTAACCTAAGATGAAAATGTTAATTTTTAAATTATCGGAAGGTGTTTATTTATATTATTTAATACTATTTTAATTGTTACACGACATTATAACGAAATATTTTTGTAACTTATTACTGTTGATTGAAATATTAATTTACACATAATTTGAAAATTTGGTTAGGGACTGTATCCGTTGTGTACTACACGTAAAAAAAAATTTAATATGCTTCATAAGGGTCTAAAAAATCCTGGATTTACAATAAAAAATTTGTTAGCCTCTTTCATGAATGCATTTGAAAAGTGAATTAACTTTTGTTAAGTTAATATTGTGTATTTTAACGTGGTCAAATGTTTGACTTTTTATTATGATTATGACGGTTTTAAAGGGTTGTTTTTAAATATATTAATCAATTATTTACCTGACAGGCGTCTTTTCCTCCATCAATATAACCAGCACATAACATTCTTTCTGTAACATCGTGACCTGCGTAAGCAGCTACACAATCATTGCTTGAAACCAAAGGAACTTCTACCCTCTGCAGTTGGCTGGGAAGAAATCCTCCTTCTCTTAATGTACCCCACCCAGTTACAGTTGCTATTTCGCCACCATAAAATTTTCGTTGTTGTGATGGTAAACCAATCAATCCTGCAGTGTTGCCCAATGTTATCACATTTTCTAAACGAATAATCGAAATGTCGTAGTCGATAAGCCAAGCGTTGTACTGAGGATGAACATTGATCGACGAAACACTAACTACGTCACCACCTGAGTTGCGATATGATGAACCATAACGCACGGAATAAGATGATGCAGTTCTCCTATAAGATTTGTTTCAATTAAGGGATGAATCTTTAACTATATAAGGCAATAATAAATAAAATTAATAATATGGTTCAGATCGTTCACTCATCAAATATTAAAATATAACTTTTATTATCATTTATACGATTACAACGTATCAGATTATCAACTGCAGCTTTTGTAAAGTAAAATAAATAAGCTCAATTTTATACCCGGAAGTGCAGTGCGCTGCAGTCACGACCCAATGTTCTGAAATGAGAGAACCTCCACAAGTATGACTTTTCCAGTACAATAATGATACTTGATATGGAAATTCCTCTATGGTTGTAGGTTTTCCCCCGACAATTCTACCGTCAAGTCGAGGAACAGCCCCTGCATAGGGATATCCTGTAATTCGTAAGAAAGTTAAATGAAAATTAAGCATCTAAATTTCTAGGCAAAAGTACCTATAGAATTTACAACTTTTTGGTTGGTCGTCAAAAATAAATTTTTTATGTGTAAAATTACGAAAAATATTATCCAGTTGATTTAAATAGATTTTTACGTTATTCAGGGGTTTAGGATGATGCGATTTCATAAACTATATGTTCGTTTGTTGTTTTCTTATTTTAATTTTCTAAATTAGAGTACTGAACAATTTATCATGAGTTATGCTGTAATAACTTACCCCACGAGACCGAAGCAAGGAACACGACGACAACCAAAAGAACGAGCATCATTTGATGAAAAGGAAGACTTAGATATTAAATAATTAGGAAGGGTGTCTCATCTATTTATATTTGTCAATTTCAATTAATTTTTAAGGCCATGAGATAATAACTTCTAAACAAATAGTAAATTAATAAAAATGAAAAGAAATCCTAGACTTATCTTTTATTTGCGTACTGAACGTAAAAACGAAGATAGGTCTTTTCGGTCTAGACGTTGACATTTTAAGGCCGAAGTTAAGTATCTACTAAATGAAAATGCTTGAAAATTTATTACGGTGTCCAGGAATACAAGAAAAAGGTGTTTTGAATTTCGTAATGTTTTATAAAAATATAAAAAAAGTTTTATCATCATTTAACATAATACTTCCGGGATTTGAGGTTGTATATCTGATAAAGTAAGACCTTCCAAAAATGCAAGTCACAATCACTTTTTACATTTCATCACACTGGACAGGTTTACTTAGAAAATTTTGATGATCTTATCTAAAGGCCATTTAAAAAGACTACACTTAATTTTAAGTATATCATCAATCAAAGCTGTTTGAAGTGAATAATTTGACATCCACTTAGTTTACTCTACTATTGCAGTTATCTATATATTTCACTTTTATAACTTAAAATACTAACGTTTGCTGTAAAGATAAGTCGATAATTATAACTCCATATAAACTAACAAAATTTTCATTCTTTTTCAGAGAAGAGAAAAGGCATTGTATTAGTCTTATTACCAATTGGTAAGTGCCTAATTGCTATTGTTATGAATGTAATTTCTCAATCATGCAGTTTTTTCTACTGTGAACGAATGTTTATCTGCAACGATTGTTTATTTATTGATTAATTGAACAAGATAACCAATTGTGAGTTAATGTTAATATACTCCGTATTGGAATAATCTCAAAAACTTAATGCCCTCAAGTAAATTGTAGTCTTCTATAAAATTACTTTTTTGGAGTGAAACTTCTTTACGCACGGTAGGGTAAGTTCGTTTCATGCGAGTTGCTATGTAACGAAATCATGCAACGGATGTCACGTAGTCGAGTTCGTAGTGGGGATCACTTGAGCCGTGAGCACGCTTCAATGCAACGTTCGTTACAGGCAACTCCGGCATGTATAGTTTAAAATTTAAATTTATAGTGTACAAATAATACTATTAAGCCAATTCCTTAACCCCTATCCTGGTATGTTTATGTGTTTGAAGAAGTTTCACTTCAGTAGCGTGTTGTATGATTACACGTTGGATATACTGGAGAAGCATGGGCATTAACCAATTTTCGTACATTGGGATGCTAAAGGTTAATGTAATATACAATAGAGCAAGATGAGCGTTTCGCTAATTTTGGTACTTCTTGTAATAAAATTTCGTTTATGCAGCTCATAATTTTGATGACCTTATTCCAGCGAAATTATCTTCTATATTATTCTATTATGCCTTGTAACCAGTGATCCAGAATAACGATAGACTAATTAAGTAATTTCAAAATTAAATAATTGTTTTAACACTCCTGTCAGCCAAACTGGTAAATATATTATTGATATACGACATACTACTAGTGGTTCATTTATCTAAATATTTTGAACAAGGAGGAGATATTTTGATCAGTTAATTACGTTTGCTTTATTAATTAGAAATCAAAGTGCTTATGATTTTTATATAAAAATTACGGTTTCATGTTATTGCAGTATAAAATATACACATATTACTGTATAGCCTTAATCATCGTTAAAAATTGCATTTATTCTTTTATAATATGGAATATGTCTTATGGCTATGTTTTAACATTTATATTCACTGTGCTGTGGATGAAGAGGTATTGGAAAGAATAGGAGAACAGAGGACTCTATGGAAGACAATAAAAAATTGGCGAGATAGGTTGGTAGGACACCTTCTCAGGCATGAAGGTCTAGTCAGACATATTAGAAATAGGAGTTAAGAGAGGTAGAGGTAGACCTAGATTAGATTACTGTTCGCAAATAGTTAAGGATGTGGGCTGTTCTAGTTTTAGGGAAATGCGAAGTTTAGCTCAGGATAGGAAAGAGTGGAGGTACGTGTCCAACCAGTCTTAGGACTGACGACTTTATGATCATGATGATGGTGCTGTGAAGGAGAGAACAATATAGTGAATTCTCAAACATTTACCTAAAAACTACAGGTACCTGTTAGATTCCATATAACCAACCCGCAACTAAATATCATTCATCGGTTGTGAATGAGTCACTTGCTGTTCAATATAGAACACCTCCGCTTGGTAATTGAATGTTGGGTAGTTTTTCCTTTTTTTTTAGGAGATGATAAAAAATGCGGCGGCTTTTACTGTGTTTTTTTTACGCGGAAAGTTTTAAGCTGGTGTGGAAATTGCGCACGGGTTAATCTGATGGAAATTACCTTTATATTGCCTCCAAACGGAAAGGATCGTATTGCATACAGCCCCATTAAAAATCTAATCGGAAACCAGAACTGAAATTCTAATGACTTTTATGCTTCACCGCAGATGATAAACAAAATTCGATTTTACAATTCACTGGTATCGCAGTCATGAAATTTCATCGGATAGCCTAGATAAACTTCGAAAGTATACTACCAAAGCAGCTAACGTAACTTTTTTATAATTTAAACCAGAATTACGAACTTTTTGAATTAAACTGTTCGGGAGCGAATAGAGCTTTCTCTTGCTGTATTGTAAACTTTTACAATAAATTTTCCAAAATATCGCCAAGGAAATTCTCGTAAAACTTCTAAACTAATAAAAACCATTTAACTGTAAATGTAAACTAATAATTTCGCGAATCGGTTATTGCAACTTTTCAAAGTTTTCTACAATTTATATACACTGTGTCACCAATATAAATAATGTATCACGTTAGGCTTATACAGTAAAAGCTCTTTATTCGCGGGGTATACGTTCCATAAATATGCCGCGAATACAAAAGCCATGGATATGGAATGGTAATTAGTATGGAATCATAAGGGATACGTTCTAAGGTTTCAAAATAAAACCAATATTTTGTTTTTTTTTTGTTTACTCGGTTACAACTTTTATAAAAGCTGCCTCAGCACGTATCAATAGTACATACTCAAAACATGCCGATACATTAACGGGATTCAGTAGTACACGCGCCGTAGAGTGAAAACATGCTTATCGGTTCTAGATATCATGAGTTTAGTGTTCTGAACAGAGGTTTGAAGTTTTGTAGTAAGATAGATAAAGCTTTGTTCTAAAGTCTGTCGAGGGCAATTTTTAATTTTTTTAATTTCTATTGAAAATACGTCTCCTACAAGAAGCATCAACTTTAAGCACTTGTAAAAGCTATTAATGACCATATTATTGAAAACCAAAAACGTGCCGAGTTAGTGTGAACCTTTCTCTGTTACTATAAAAAAATCACACATTATCTCGCAGCATTAAATCAATATGTTTAGAATAGAAATCCATGTTTTCGGAAAAATTCACATTAGGCACGAGCGGTCTATTGCGGTCAATTGCTTTAATAAATGACACCGAATCCTTATCTGTTTACCGATTGCATCCGCGAATAATGAAATTTTAGGCGCGAATACAGGAACTGGGTTGCAATTTTTTCACTGTATTTTAAACACTGTACTAAATTTTATTTAGCTTTTATTTGCACATGATCATTTACAATAGTTTGAGTGTTGTTTTGTGAACTATTGAAAACGTACCTACTTTTAGTAGCTAAGCTTTTCTGTTCATTTGTAAAAGCTTCTGTTCTTCCTTCTTCCTCCTGTTCATCATGTCCTTCATGGTATTGATGTATCCAATTAGTGTTGAAAATTCAAAAAGTTCCATCGTATGCTCCTTTTTGAAGCAAATTAACCAAGATAATGTAGTCAATTTAAATTAAAAGTTTCCCGCCAAGTTCGTAGGAAAAGTATCAAAAGGTTGGGCCGCTGTACCGTCGATTCTTTGAAGGCAACAAATTAAACTTTTCTATAATTAATTAAATTTCCTGATCAGCGCAAGTTGTTGTAATCGAAGTGCGCTGTTTTTCCTTTACTTTAGTGCACGCTTTTCGATTTTCCGAACTTTTCTAAAAGCTGAAAGACAGGTTTTTGAAACTTTACTTAACTAAATGAACCCTAAATGATTTTGTTTTGCTACAACAAAATGTAGCATCCACTTCCTCATCACTTAAGATATAATTAGAGATAGCAGAATTAACTCAACTGAATTAAAGCAGAATTGATACTGATAATAATTTAATAAAAAACGTAAAATGTTATACAAAAGTTCAGTTTGGTTCTAGAGTTTTCCTATTCAGTATTATTAGAGCATCATTTATCTATAACTTTTCGACTTTGAATTTCCTTAAACATTTTCACATCGTTTAATAGTCCACTAAATCACTTATCTTTCACAAATGTGTTTTGTAAAACATTATCATCATCATCATCATCATCATCATCATCATAAGGTCGTCAGTCCTAAGACTGGTTGGATACGTACCTCTACTCTTTCCTATCCTGAGCTAAACTTCGCATTTCCCTAAAACTAGAACAACCCACATCCTTAACTATTTGCGAACAGTAATTTAATCTAGGTCTACTTCTACCCCTCCTAACTTCTGTTTTTGCCTGTAATATGTCTCTGACTAGACTTTCATGCCTAAGAAGGTGTCCTACCAACCTATCTCGTCTATTTTTTATTGACTTTCATAGAGTCCTCTGTTCTCCTATTCTTTCCAATACCTCTTCATTTCTAACCTTTTCTACCTACGATATCCTCATCATCCGCCTATAACACCACATTTCGAACGCTTCCAACCTTTTCTTTTTCGCCGCGCCCACTGTCCATGTTTCGCACCCGTACACTGCCGCGCTCCAAACATACACCTTTAACAACCTTTTCCGAATTTTTAAATTAACCGTCCGCGAGCACAGAAGTGACTTCTTTTTATTAAAGGCGACACGACCCTGCGCTATCCTCTGCTTTATATCCCTTCTACTCCTTCCATCCTGACTTATCTGACTTCCTAGGTATCTAAAATCAGCCACTTCTTCTAATTTTTCGTCTCCTATCTTTATATTCGCCCTTTCC